GGGCCTGGGCAGCCTGCGCTGGGTGGCCCTGCTGGGGCAGGGCTGGGGCCTGGTGGCCTCCAGAGGGCCCCCACAGCCTCAGCCCCTCTGTGATTACACGCCAGTTAGCTGACACTCTGCTAGTAAGCAATTTATTATCTATGTAGGAGGTTGTTCAGATTACACAAATTGGCTGTATTAGTATATTGTTAATAATTCATCACTTTCAGCATCAGGAGAGCCTAAGGAAATATGGCAAGCAAGTTAGACTTACTTGCCAAACTACTGGGCTTTCAAAATTGCAGAGCACAGTGTGCAGCATGATAGAGCCATTTATCACTCAAGCACATTTCTCAAGGGATGTTTTAGGATCGAATATTTATAGAAGAGCCTGTTTTCCTGGAGAAGAAACTAGAAGTCTCCTGATTTTTCCAGAACAAGAGTAAAAATAAATACATTCAGGTATAGCTTCCTAAAAGAGATCTATCCTTTTTCTTTCATATGCCTAGTCATGCCTAATTCGTATTTGATATGTCTAGCTGCCTAATTCAGATGAAGCCACGATACTTAACATATTTTTACTCACAAAGATCCACTTTCTAGCCTATCCGATGCCTATGGGCATAACGTATTGAGTGTAATCAAGATTTAATCAAACATAGTTTTGGCATTCTGTTTCTCTACCAAGAAGAGAACAGAAGGAGAGCTTTGTTAAAAGATTTGGCAAAAGATTGTACAAATCCAGAACAGAAATATTTTCTACCAAGCTTGAATGCCACAACACTGTACCCAGTCTTTCACCCTTTGCACGTGAGAACTCTGCCTGAGGAAATTGTCCATAGGTAGTGTTTCCAGTAGTGGCCAACAGGCTGTTGACAGACTAGAGCATCCACTTGCATGTTTGTAGTTTCGATGGTCAAATAACTCCTCACAGGGCTAGACAAGATTAATTTTGCATGAGAGGAGGTCAAATTGCCTCAGGCAAGGCTTGCCTGCTATTCTCCAGAACCTTTTCAGGCTCTTCTGGCACAAGGTGAGCCCTGGCACCAGTATATTTGCTTGTTTAAGTATTTATGGGGATGTGATGGGGAGCAATGAGAACAGACCAGTGATCACTTTGCTACTTCAAGCAATTATAGGACTGAAAGTCATCACCACAGCGTGCACCTGCAAAGAGTAATGAACTACCTTCTTATGAAGAATAAGGGGAAACCTGCTTAGTTCCTACTAGAATGGGACTTCCTTGTCTCATGAACAGCTAGAAGGGGAAAGCGTCCTATTTGGATGTGAGGGCCATGACAAAGCCCCCCTCTGTGGATAAAATTCCTACTCTTATTCCTCTCTGACACTTTTAAAATGTACCAAGCCCTAAAAGCCAAGATATGGCTGTATAGCAAGGAACAACTCCTGCACCCTGCAAGTGTCACGAAAGAGCTTTTACTCTTGCTACACTTTTGTCTGTTGGAAAGGGTAATGTTGATTTCTGCATTTGCACAATGAAAAGTGGCAGTTTTGACATTTTCTCTGATATACAACACCTCTGCAAAACTGGTACTAATAGACAAATGTGTCACAATTGTTAGCACCTCCAACAAAATGGATATTCAAACAAGTTCCTTTTTGAGTCAAAATATGACACATTCTTCGGGATTTTGTTTCAGAACACTTAGTTGTCTTGTAGGTGATGTTGGCAACAAGGCACATTTTCTGGGATCCCAAGGTGTAGGGATGTTTTAATGCTGACACAGGTGGGCAGCCCACAAGGCAATCCGGCCACTGTCAGAAGCTGGCAATAGGCTCAGGATGGGTTGCCATTTTGAAAGCATGGCGATGGGAGGTTTAAACTTAGGTGGGAAGAAAGGAGAAAGAAAGGAAGGTGATAAGGACTGTGCTAGCTGCTGCAAGGTTATTCTGAATACTAATCAACTTGCTGCTGTGTTCTGGATTAATGTGGTAGAAAATTTGAGCATGCAAGGGAAGTTGTACAAAGACACCACATATTGAGATAAGGATTAGTTTGATTTTGCAGTTTGTTGTAAGCATAAGCAATTGTGAGGCATTTCTCTCTCAGAATCAGTCCAATAAGGGCATGTTAGATCAGTGAAAATCTCAAAATGCTGTTTTCAGCAACACAAAGAGCTACTGAAAGCAGAGCTGAACACAAAAAAAGGTCTGGACAGAGGGTAGAAGCTCTTAGGTGTTACTGATGAGCAGCGAACAATGCTAACACCAAGAGCTCAGAGACAGAGCGAGGCGTGAAAATAACACTTGGCATTTGTCTAACATAACATTATTCAGTTCTGGGAATAAGAATAAACAAGAAGTGTGTGTCGTTTCACATGGTAACAATGGCTTACAGAACAAAGGAAATTATAAAACTGCTGAATGGACAACTTGACAGTGCTTCTGGCAACATGAACTTGTCAATGAGAGAAGACTGGCTGGCAAAAGGAATGGAGCAGGCTGATCCGTATCAATCCTGTGAGTCACTGTGACTGTGTGTAAATGCACCTGTTTATTAGCATTTAATACCAAAAATCCTCCTGCATCCCTTCAGCTATGGCTGAACTCAGTAGAATGATTAGATTTTGTCCACTGCCATCTCATAGCTTTTGTGTTATGACCTTGATGCCTCTGTTGTGATCCCACCTGGCCATCACCTCGCACGTCATTGTTTCTGCCTCGAGCGGGGCCTCTCAGACAGCAATCAAATCTAAGGCCTCTGCATGGAACCAGATAAAAATATGGCAAGTGGGAAGAAAGCAGGGATAGAACAAAGATAGTTTTGCTAAGTGAATAGGTTACAATGTATGTGGTGGCCTTGAAACAGAGGTAACATCCAGGTGCCACTTACAGAGAATGCAAAGGTTTAGTGCAGAATGGCATGGGAAGGCAGGTGGAGACGTGCCAAAAAGTCTGGAGCACAGCTGCAACCGCAGGATTACTGTGGTGATGAAGCTTACCTAGAGGTGATGTTGCTGATGTTCCTAATGGACTAAAACCACCACAGCAGTCCACTAGAGACATTGCTGTAGGGAACTGAGGTGTATGAACACAGCTCTCACAGAAGGATGCTGTAAATCCTGGTTCACAGTGCTACGTAGACAAGCTAAGGCTGATACCTTTATTTTATTTGATGCTATACTCACCAGATGATCCTGTTTAAATCTGATGAACTATTCAGGCACCCTCATACCAATCCATGAGTGTAAGAACAACAGACTTTGGTCTGTAGGAGCCACATATACCACATGTGGGAATATGTGCATCAAATTTCCTGGCAACAACCTATTAGACAATGCACAGAATGGAGGAGACCTTAATTATATCGCTATTAAAAGTTGACTGAACTCCTAAACAGACAGAAACAATCATATTCTTGTCACTGATTTGTGTATGTGATTAGTCACATCCCCATTGTCCAACACAAGGATGAGTTTTACCGGATTTTATGCACAACAGTGGCAAAAATAAATTTTATGTGCAATAAAAATATTTTGAGACGGTGCCCACTGAGGTGCTGATTTTAGTGGAGGTGTCCCTAGGATGAGGGGATACCTGGGCAGAGGCTACAAGGGCAATGCAGCAGTCAAAACACATAAATTTGAGTGTGGAGATTTAAAAGTTGTGCTTATGGTAGTACTGATATGCCAAACTATGGATAATGTTTTCCTCCACAAACAATAGTACAGCTGAAAGAAAAAAAAAAAAAAAGAAAAAAAAAAAAAGAGTAAGACCAGGCTATTACACTTCATCATTGAAAGAATTGCCTTGATATTACTCGCTGTTGCCTGGAGAGCAGGAGGCATAATGCATCTGACCTGCAGGAATGCTGGAAGATAAAATACAAATTACTGATGGAAGATTTTGCAGAATGCAATTTAAGATGCTGACTGCAGCTCATCTACGAGGTAGATGAGGTAGATAAAGTATAGATGTAAATTGCTTTCTTAAGACCCACTGTACACTTAGGGACTGACTTTACTTGGCACAGCACAGTGCACAGCAAAGAACAAAACAGAAGAGAGCCAAAAAGGTTGGATGTGGTGCTTAGGGACATGATTTAGTGGGTGATATCGGTGGCAGGAGGACGGTTGGACCAGATGATCTTGGAGGGCTTTTCCAACCTTAGTGATTTTGTTACTATAGTCGTATAGCTTTTTATTTTTCATTTTACATTATTTATTTATTTTTTATTTTACAACTTTATCAGCATTACACATACCTAGCACTGTATTGCACACCTGTAGGCTGCTGTGAGGCCTATAGGTTTTTAAGTCCTGAAGATTTGGAGGTACAAAGCTATCTTTGTAAAAGAAACACTAATCTGAATGTGAGATTTAACATGAGACAGTCTGAAGGCAGCAATTTTTAATGGTTCACGTAGGTTTAAGAGCCAGGTCTTTAAGGCAAATGAGCATTTTTCATCTCCTCGAGGAACACTTTCACTGCCGTACAATCCAACCTTTACAGATAACTGTACCAGATTTCGAGGGCTGCTGAGGAGCTTGTATAAATAGCATGTTTAAAGGGACTATGTGTAAATAGAAACGTGAATTTACATAGTTACCATCTTGAAAAGTTTCTAGAAGGGACTCTTATGAATGAATGTGGTAAGAGGCAATCCCGAGTCCACTAGCAGGGAAGTTTGGGACAGACTCCTGAAACCCCCACAGAAAGAGCTGTGCACTAATATTGAGGCAGAGGGCAGCACTGACCCTGGGGCACCTGCTGTACAAACAGCTGGACGTCTCCACAGCCTTTTTTGCTGCCTTTCCCCCCGAGCAGCGAGCCCAGCCCCTGCAGGCGCAGCGAGCCGCGCCGCCCCATTTCCCCCCTCCTTTCCAGGCACGGTCAGCCCCTGCCTCTCGTCACAGCACCGAGTCGGGGCAGAAAGTTGAGATTTTGGCCCCACCGGCCCCAGCCTTCCCCCCACGGCCCTCGCTGCCCGCCCCTGCGGCCCAGGAGCCGCCCCGGCTCCGCCCCGCGGCCGCCGCCTGTCAGGGGCCGGGGGCCGGCGCCTCGCTCAGTGCCGGGGCCGGGGCCGGGGCTGGGGCCGCCTCCCCCGGCTCGGGGCCCGGGCAGCCGCGGCCATGTCGCTGCCGCCGCTCTTCCTCCTCCTCCTCTTCCTCCTGCTGGGGGCCGGCGGGCTGCGGGCGGCCGAGCCCGGCGCTGCTGCTGCTGCTGCTGGTGGTGGTGGTAGCAGCAGCGCCATGGAGGAGCTCGCCACCGAGCAGGAGGCGGAGGAGAGCCACCGGCAGGACAGCGTGAGCCTGCTCACCTTCATCCTGCTGCTCACCCTCACCATCCTCACCATCTGGCTCTTCAAGCACCGCCGTGTCCGCTTCCTCCACGAGACCGGCCTGGCCATGATCTACGGTGAGCTGAGCTGGGCTGGGCTGGGCTTGGGGGGCTGCTGGTAGCAGGGTGCGGGTCCTGCTTGCTGCTACCAGCTCATCACAGAGAAAGCAGGTAGCCTACAGAGCTCCCCCAGCTCGTCTTGAACCCAGTCTGCTCAAGGAGTGCAGTGCTGGGGTGGCTTTGTCTGCTCCTGCTCCCAGGGAGCGCCAGGAAAGTGGCAGTGAGTGCCTGCACAGAGCCTGTGTGTGTCCTCTGTGTGTGTGAAACCCCGAGCTGTTTCCAGGAGCCACTGGTGCAGGGAGCTGCAGGTGAGCCCCTGCTGGGGCGTAGCGCCCTGCTGCGAACTTATGCAATTGGGATTCGTACTACAGGGGACATGGCAGTCCCGAGGAGAAGCAGTCACCCATTTGGAAACTGATTTGTCCTGCCCTAGCGCTGTGGGCCTTTCTGATTTCTTAGTTGGCGTTCCCGCTGAGCAGTGCGAAACACCTGCCTGCCGTGGGTTGGGATGCCACGGGTGAGAAATGCAGCACGCCGGGGGGCGAGCAGGGAAGGGGGTCCTCCCCGCCGAGTACTCCTGCTCTCAGGATGGACGTGGTTGCTTGCCAGGCAGTGGAATTTTCCTCTGCTGAAGCATCTCTCAAACCACCCCGCTTTGCTCTTAGTCACTGATATCTTTGCTGCATTGCTGTGTATTTCACGTATGCTCCTTGTTGAAAACCGGCAAATTAAAGACGGGGCATATAAGTAAATTATGCACGAGTATCGTAATCCTTAACATATCGTAATCCTTAACAGTTGAATAGTGCCCGGGAGGTGGTAGATTAACTGTACGAATGCTGATTGGAAGTGACAGAGTAAGGTTGCATTGAGGACGTTATTTAAATATCACCCTGGTGCTGTCACCTTCAGAAACTGCTTTAAGACCATTACAGAGCTCTGGGTGGTTGGCTGTGTGGTAGAAATTCTGCGTACACGGGCGTGCTGATGTGTGCAATACGAATAATAGGGCATCAAGGGCATTTGCATTTTGATGAGCTGTGGTGGCAACAAGAAATTGTTCACCCACAGAGCTTCTGCCTCTCGTTAAACTCAAATTAGTTTATGATAGCTCGCAGTTGCTGATCCATGAAATGGGCGCTAGATTCCTGATTTGATGTACAAATGGTGAAATTGTGTGGTGGAAAAAGTGCCATGCTATGTATGGCCCTTTCTGCACCATAGGCAACACCGCCGAAATAATGATTGGCTCGAGCTGCCGCATGTTCTTGGCACTCCCTCACCTAAATCTTTTTGTTTTCATAGACGGTGAATATCTTGGGGAAACATCCCAATGAACCCCTCTGGTATCTCAAAACACACACTTTCCTACCTCCCAAGCAAAATGACTCTTGCCATGTCACAGCAAATGTCTGAGGAAACATACTCAGCAAGTGCAGTTCTGTTTTACGCTGTTAGCCTTCGGTGCCTGTGAAGCTCCGCTGAGGCCTGGCTTCGTTTAAATGTTTTGTAGACTTCCTTTAGAGCAAAGAAAAAAAACCATAGTAAGTATCATAGTAACTGTCTGCTGCACTTCTGATAACCAAGCTTTATTCTTCACATGGGAGTGTTTTCCTCTTCTTTCTGTTATTTAACAGACAGTGGTTAGGCTGAGAAACGTTTATGCTTTGCTGATAACTTGGGATCTGAGAAATGCACGCATCTCAAACTGGATGTTTAAGACACATTTAATGTTTGACACAAAATCGTGTGGCGATATTCTAACTGAAATTTGTAGTCCAAAAACCAGAAGCACCTGGCATGAAGCAGTTCTGATTATGATAACAGGTGTCTAGGTGCTCTCGAAGATGTATTGATCAGCATGGTATTGAGGTAGGTAACTTTCACAGGGTTTTAAGCTCCAGTCGACAGCTCCTGTACCGTTTTGCATTCCATTTCTTTAACAGCGGCTTTTAGCGGTGAGTAAAAGGCTTTCAAGTACAGGAGAAAAGTAGGCTGGCAGTTAAATGCCGATTACTTTTTATCGTGGAGACAATGACCCAGAAAAACTGGTCTTGTTGCACCTAAAAGCCCTCTGAAATGGTTGGTTTCAGTGACTGAATCTTGGGGTGATTGCAGTAGATGAAAACGTGGCAGCAAGATGCGTTTGAGGTAGTTAGAGCTGGAGGTCCTGACGATTGCTTGCTTCTTCCTTTCTTTAGGAAGAGGGGATGGAGCTCTTCTTATTTCTGGTCTAGCCGCACAGCAGCGTGCCATCCGACCTCTTTCCTCGAGCACAGCAGGAATCAGGTGGCATGACAGCGGCTGGAGGTGGTGGGCGGCGAGAGCAGAAGCTGCCTGCAGCCAGACCTTTAACCAGCATTTCTCACTTATCTTTTCTCAGAACCCAGCTACAAGCACATCCTGTTCTACTTTCGCCATGTTTTGGCTGCTGATCTGATCGCATTTCTGATACAGAAAGCACGCGCTTTATCCAGCTCAAAGGGCCTGTGGCCCAAATGCTGCTGGTGCTGCTGAAGTTTGCATTTCTTCTGGGCTTTAAGTAGCGCCTTTCCTGTTGAGTAGGAGGCATCTGTCGTGCCAGTGTGGTAGTCTAACAATTACCCAGTCCTCAGCAGAGCGAAGGCTCCTGCCCTGTCCAGATTTGCAGGGTGTTGTGGAACTTCACCATGTGAGCTGCTTTGGTTCAGAAGCCATTGGGACCATAACAGAGTCTTGCCATGTTTCTTATTTCCTGTGCTGTCACCATCTCTTCAGGGACAGTCACTGCTTTCCTGTCTGTTATTCTGATGTGCTAAATGGCCTCCTCTGGAAGTGTCTGTTAAGATGTGAAATAACCTGAAGTTTACACGATTGCTTAATGACTTACCGTGCTGCTTTCTTGTGTGGTGCACAGCTTAAAGTCTTAGAAATAAGATCAAGAAATATGAAAGTCACAGAGCTCAGGTGCACGTGCTAGCTCTGACAGCTGCGTACGTGAAAGGGAAAGAGACCTTTTTCAGATGTCGGAAAATACTTTGCACCTAGAGCTGCAGGTTCAGGTGCAGTGCTGACTGGTTCTGCACCATGGCACTGCACGGTGCCTGTGCCCAGGTGGTTCCAGAAGAGGCTTGTGAATAGGATTGAAGCCTGGTCTTCACACTTTAACAGGGAGTGCTGCTCTTCTGCAGCTGCTCCACCAATGGTGTTGCTAATGCGAGTCATTATGGAGCAATTAGAGGGAGGAGGAGGGGGAAAAAAAAAGTAGATTGAGGGCAGTGAAGGAAATGAGCTGTGTGCCAACTTGTGGTGGTGGCCATGACGCTCGCGTTGTGCCTCTTGAGTCCTGAGGGCACAGTGCCCAGAGCTGTGCCCTTCCTGAAGGGGCTTGGTGGTGCAGGGCTGCCTTGGCTCCTCCTGGGAGCCCTCCCGGGCTTTAAGGAAACACAGGATGCCAGAGGAGAGCACATCAGCACGGGTCCCAGCTGCAGCTGGGGCCTCCCTGACTGCAGCGCGGGTCCGAGCCACCTGTGGGCCGCACCTCGTGGTGCCGCGGGCTGGCTGCCTGCCCTGGTTTTCCCCGCTGCCGCCTTTGTTGCGTGCCGCTCTCCTTTATCAGCCACATTACTCCCAAAGGTCACGCTGCCCGAACAATTCCATCAAAGTCTGGCCTCGTGTGACGCAGGGAGCAAGCCTAGGTAGCCGGATCGTTTGTTAGGCTCTTCTATTCAAAGCTGCACTCCCTGCAGGTGGAAATGAAAGCCAAACTGGACTCAAGTACTAAGAAAAACAATGTATGATGAGTCACTGGAAACTTCTGTTACTCTTTGTAAACCAGAAATGAGAGGCGAGGTAAATGTTCAGGATAAAAAGTAACACATTCCTTCTGAAATACTCAGTTTTAGATGAGGTTCTTGTATCTGGAGAGTAAGTACAGAAAGTCTGTCCTTGTCTCATCTCGCTGCAGTGTTATCTGTTACAATTCTAGGCTGGAGACATGCAAGAGAGGACCTAATGCATCTCTGTGGCCATCAAAATAATGGCAGAGTTGATGTTTAATAAACCCCTTTTATGTGAGCATTTCAGTATTAGATTTAGGAGCAGAACTCCAAGCACTCAATTTCAAGAGCGTTATCTTCTCTTTGGCAGCCCGCATGTTCTTTCTAAATCACTGAGTTGCAAACTTTCAAAATGAGTCTTGCTCCATCCTTTGGGTGCTCTGGACACTTCAGTTGTACCGCAAATCTTGTTTCTAAGCTTACTTGCTCTGACTACATAGTTGTCTTGTGAGAGATTTCAGAAACGTTGTATCTCTGCCATTAACCTACCTCTATTTCAACTCTGCTTTTCAGGTGGGATTGCTGGGTGGCCTAAATATTTCTGAAGTGTCTCTGGGATACAGTTCAGTTACAGTCCTCAGGACAGTGGTTTTTTTTTTTTCTTTCTTTTTTTTTTTTTTGAAGTGTTTTCAATAGCAATTAATATAAATTAGTTCTTTTTTGTTAATCTTAGCTTCTCAATGCTCTATCAAATCAGTGTCAAAATACCCTTCTGATCACTTGTATGAGAGGAGAGAAATGACAACCCCAGATTTATGAGAGAAATGACAACCCCGGATTTCCTCTGTCTGAGCAGCCCTTTGGTAACGTAACTGGCTTTTGAAGCTAGTGCTGCTCTACAACATCAAACTGTCATGGTAGGAAGGAAAGTGTTCCCTCTGCATATACTTTAATTCTCATCTGAATTAGAAAGTTGCTGTAAACAAGTGCTAGTAATGCTGCAGAGCTCTCACACGTGCTTGTCTTGTGCTCATGTGTGTCTGTACAGTGAATGGTCTTGGTAAGAGTGTGCTGAACTGAGGGCAGGTAACCCAATGTCTAGTGCACAGCTTTGTTATTAGACAGTGATATTCTTCTACAGCATGTTACACATTACCTAGCTTGAGATTTTCATTAGTCCGTTTCATATTTTTTTTGTTAATTTCTGGTTTCTTTGCCACCTTGCAACAGAAATGCCTCTCAACAGGTTGTCCAAGGAAT